GCTAATTTTTTGTATTTTTAGTAGAGACACGGTTTCATTGTGTTGGCCAGGATAGTCTCGATCTCCTGACCTCGTGATCCGCCCGCCTTGGCCTCCCAAAGTGTTAGGATTACAGGCATGAGCCACCGCGCCCAGCCACATCTGGCTAATTTTTTTGTATTTTTAGTACAGACAGGGTTTCACCATGTTGGCCAGGCTGGTCCCTAACTCCTGACCTCAATTACCCACCCGCCTCAGCCTCCCAAAATGCTGGGATTACAGGCGTGAGCCACTGCACCCAGTCCATACATCAAATTCTTAAAACAGTTTTGAGATCCCTTTCTAAGAGGCTCACATGGCTTTATTATATAAAGGTGCAAACCCTTTAAACTAGGGCCACAAAAGAATCTGGAGGCTGCTGAGGTATGGTCACATGGATGGCAAACCTGGGAGACAGAAAACCTGAGCTTAGGTTTGCAACTGACAAGCCCTGTGATCTTGAATAGATCATTTAAGTTTTCAACATCTTAATATCCTAATCTGCAAAAATGGGGATAGCAAGGCCTCAATTACAGGATATTTGCAAGGATTCAATAATTTGGAGTATAAGGAAGCTCTTTGTTACTCACATATCATACAAATATGGGTCTTGTTATATGGACATGTTGGAATTTTAGCATTAGTTTTACACGGCTACACTTAAACAAATATTTATTGAGCACAGGCATGTACCAGGCAAAGGGAAAACAGATGAAAGCAAAGATTCCTGCATTTGAAGAACTTACAGTCTAACTGGAAGAGAAAGTTGAAATGCGTTGTTGTTAAGTGCAATGACAGAAGCATGCAGCGGAGGGACCAGGCCCAGGTCCTCAGAAGGAAATATGTCAGTCCTGAGTTCTGAAAGGTGAAGAAACTGGGGTAGGAGAAGAGATGCAAAAGCAGAGGGTGTTCTAGGAAGAGGCACAGAAAGAGCGAGAGAACATGATGCAAGGGAAACAAGCAATTCAGAATGACCAGAGAGGCAAGAGAGAGAGCGTGAAGGGGTCAGTAGAAGCCAGGTCTCACAGGGTTAACAATTTGGACCCTTTTCCATCAACAATGGAAATCTTTGATAGAAGGTTGGGAAGAGCTGAGTTGGGTTTAGCTGGGATTACAACTGAGGATAACTGCATGTATTTGAAAGCTAAGGAGAAGACCAGGTATGGTGGCTCACACCCATAATCCCAACACTTTGGGAGGCCGAGGCAGGTGGATCACCTGAGGTCAGGAGTTTGAGACCAGCCTGACCAACATGGTGAAACCCCGTCTCTACTCAAAATACAAAAATTAGCCGGGCGTGGTGGTGGGCACTTGTAAT